CTGAATGTTTCATAAGGTAGATCCTCCTAATCTAGTTAGCTACTAAGCCAAGTTGGTATTGCTACTAAATATAAAGTACCAGGCTGCATTACACTATAATCTTACTCACACCTACTTGATTTATACTCAGAAATCCTTGTCAGATCAAGTGTTAACAAGTGTGACTGTTGAAATTCGTACTAATTTACCTAACTTAGGATTTCTACTATACAGATCCTCTGCCCATAGATCCTATCTCGATTAATTTATATAACACAACTCTAATATTCTATCACACTTCCAATATCTGAACAACATTGGTGCAATGTGATTTATAGGGTTACAACTCCAGAAACAGACAGAGTTTACTATAAGTTGAGTACAGATGTCTAAGTCAGTAATATTCACTAGAACGTTCCAGTAGGAATTACTGGAACTGGAAGACCACTGAACTTAATTGGACAAAATTAGAACCAGATTTGCTTCCAGTAATCGGATGTTCACTGGAACGTTCCAGTGAAGATTTTTGTTCACTAGATGGAAGTTCCAGTGATGTCCAGTGACTTCCAGTAACTTTAAATTAAAAAATTTAAAAATAAAATACATGTGTTATATGTACATTTGATGTATGTACATATGTATGTATATATTTGTATCAAGTATTTTGAAAGAAACTGGCAATTAACTTTACTTTCCATAATTGGTTAAATTTAAGCATTTATTTAGACCACCTCTCTTGAAATCGACTATCGTAGCATTCATCCTGCATGATTGCGCATTTATATCCATTGTTTTACATAAAAAAGATATGTGAAAATAAGTGTTTAGTGACAAATTCTATAGTTTAATGTAAAATTTCATATTACAAACCCAATTGCTGATTACTATTAATTGAGTAATTAGCATTTATTGCATAAGCAAAAGACCAAAGAATTTAAAATTATATATAACGTTTTATTTAAAATAAATATAATTAAATCTCATTTGTTTACTGTTTTTTTTTTTTTTTGGAAGTTTGTTCCGTTTAAATTGGTATCAAAAGTTAGGTCATTGATTGTAAATAGGTCCAAAGCTTTGACTTGTACGTAATCAAATAAATAATTAGGAATGTTAAAATTCGATCTGGACTAGTCCCAAAAAAAATAATCCAAAATACTTAAGAACGAGTTCATGATCTAGTGTAGAGTCAAAGAATTTAATAAGGTTGAACTAGTTCTTAACTAGTCCTATTAGCATTGGAATAATTATTGAAACAAACTATACGTTCTTTATTTCGAATTAGTGCAATCATAGAATTTTATGGATCTTATAAATCCTGCATATTACTATTGTGAAGAAAATATACAGAATTTGTAAAATTCACAAAATTCTATCGCACTGATTCAAGACAATGATGAAAAAGTATTATTCATGCGACTCTTAGAATCTAACTCTTGAATAGTTGAGTCAAACTTAATGCGTCCATGCTAAGTAGATTTAAAAACTGAATCCTACTTTTTCATGTACATTCAATTCTTGTTTTTTTTCTAAAATTAGTTTAGTCAAATCAGAATTAAGTCTTTCATTTCAAACTAATAGTACAAGAACAGAAAAATCATGATTTTAAAAAATAAAAATGATAGTTAAAGGTACTTATCTATATAACTGTTATTCAAGCCTATAATTTGAAATTTAGGCAAATTACAGTAACTTAGGATTTGAATGGCAACTATAATATTTCTGATTTTAAAATGCAAATAACATCTCACATATGTAAAAGACAGTTAAATAAAATAGAATTAAAAAATTGATTGCATGTAAATAATTAATTGATACCATAATATAATAAAATACATATCTTTAGATTAAAGTGAATAATAAAATTACATTAATAATAATGTTTAAGAGTAAAAAATTTTCAAGTAGGCGAAGATTTTTATCTCATGTAGCTACGTAGTTTAAAACCTAGTTAGAAATTGGCTTCTTTTTTGTCATGATAAAATTTTGCAGGTTTCTGATGTGGATGCTGTATTATATTTTAAGAGTACCTTTTTTAGTACTCGCATGAATAAGAGCACAATTTTAGCAATAATAGCATGAATAAAAGCACAATTCTAGCAATAATGACTCACATGAATAAGAGCACAATTCTAGCAATAATGACTCTAATTTAAGACAATGGGCTCCAGAGGAATGTTCTTTTTTTTTAAACTTTTCATACAGGAACGTAAATATAAATAAAAAAGAAATTCTGATCTGATCAAAATTAATATTAAAATATATCATAATTATCCCTTGTACATAATCCCACCTATCATTAAGAGATAATAGCATTCAACTTACTAAATAAAATCAGTAGCTGAAGCTCGACGCATATATATTATTTGTTACTCAACTCAGTTGTAATCCCGATGACGTATTTCTGAAAAAAATATTGAATTATGATTATTTAAAATTGGCTCTAAATATCAATATAAAGATCGTAGTATATTGTTTCTTCGTCTATAATAATAGCATGTGAAAAATACAGACAAAGGAATAATGTTTAAAGCAATGTTGGCATTTGAACTAATTAAAAACAATATAGACAATATAAGGTCATAGTAATGTTTAATTTGGAATATAGGATTTGAACTGTATTCAAATATATTCAAAAATATGAACATAGCCCAAACACCAATACTGATTTTGAGACGTCTTGAATGTTGAACAATAAAGTATATAAAAGCATAATATCTAAGGAGAATTTCACCATATTTCTTTTAAAAAAAAGTTTGTTCTATTTTTTCACTTATAATCAATTAGAGTTTTAAAATTATACCAAAATGTCTCAACATCATATAGGTGGCTCCGAAAGGCATAGGTTCACAACTGATATTATTGTGCTTGGTACAAAACCTACAAATAAGTATAATACTTATTGTGTATGTAAGGCTTGTGACGAAAAACTTAGCTGGGAAGAAACTTTAAAAAACCTAATTACCAATAAAAAAAATATTATTAGAAATCATCTTAAAAATTGTGAACACTTTCGTGCAAAAAGAGGGTCAGAAGAAACAGTAAGGTCATATTGTAATAAGACAGATGATGAAGAGCTGGCTTCACAAACTTCAAGAAAACACCAAAACTCTGACACATCAGGTAATCAGTAAATACTGAAAAACCTTTCTAAATACGTCCTCTCTACACATATTACTTTCGTAAATATACTTTTAAACTCTCAGCTCAGATATATATTTAACCTTTGTAAATGCACTATCTTCATAATGCAATTTTACAGTTTTTTAAATATGCATTACAGAGGGTTTGGTTTGGTTTAAACAAGATGCATTTAGAATATTTCTCTGTATTTGAAATTTAGACTATACAAATTTAACTTCTTGGCTTTTATAACATGAAACTTTTGAACAGACCCAGCCGGCCAGCTTTTTTTTTTTAATTTCATATATAAAATTTTATGAAATTTTTATAAAAGTTCTTTTAAAACCTCATTCACTATTAAAACAAAAAAAATTTTTTAAAGTTTTCAAATTTGAACTCGGCCGGGTTATGAAAACCAATTAATTAATTTTGCATGATCTTATATTAAAATATATATAAATTTTTTTTTCTTGAGTAGATGATATGAATGATGAAACCTCTAGTATTTCTTCAATACCTTTAATGCCTAAAAAACTAAGAAAAAAAGCATCAAAATCTAATATTATGTCTAATTTCATTGTCAAAGATGTTGCTGTAAAAGACAAACCTGAATTTGAGAGACTGTTACTTCGGATGACAATTTCGAATAGATGGGCTTTTAAATAGACAACAAATCAAGCAACTCAGAAGTTTTTTAAGTTCTTAAATCCAGCACTTACCCTTCCTACTAGACGAGCTTTATTGAATCGTATTCTTGACGCTGAATGGAATAACTTCATAAAATCACGTGAACAAAAGTTAGAAGGAGATGGCATTGGAGTTACCTTAGCATTTGATGGGTGGAAAAATATTTTGAAACAAAATATTTTTGGTTCATTATTTATTTTATCAAATGGAGAAGTTCAAGTTTGGGAAGTGATTGATATTAGTTCAGAACGAGAGCGGATGATTGATATTATTCCTAAAATTGAAAAAATGATCAGTGATACATCAATTATAGGGGCAAAACTATTGGCAATAGTTTCTGATAGCGTACCTGCATATACCGCTACTAGGTAAAAATTAAATTATACATGTTAACTAACTATTTCTTATAACCTTATCAGATCAATTATTGAAAAAATTATAATAATCAAAAAATAAAAGTTTTTTAAATGCAAATTTGAAGTTGTCGGGTAGCTATACCCAGGAAAAAAAAATTAGAATCAAAATTAGATGCGTATTGCACACATAATTTGTTCGCATACCATACATGTTATTAAATATTATGTGTGCTTTGCGCACAGTTTTATATTTTTTTGTATGCAAAAAATTTTTATGTGCAGAGCACACATACGCATATCAAATTTTTCACTAGCTATACCTAAGTCAAAAATATTACAAAAATAATTAATTTTGTGTCTTATATTATAATTCAATTTTTTAAATACTTATTCTAATTATTTTTAATAGACGTAGGCTACGATTGCAATATTCAGAAATTGTTTTATCCCTTGCTTCACTCATCAATGTAATCTTGCTGTGGGTGAGATATTCAAAGAATCTGATGAATTTAAAACTGCAATGAAGCAAGCAATACAAATAGTTAGCTATTTTAATAATAGGCTCCATTCATATTTTATTAGAAAACTTCAAGACTTACAAAAGCAAATATATTTAAAATATATTGCTTTAATTTGTTCAGGCAATACTCGTTGGAATTCTTATTTTTATTGTTTCAAAAGCCTAATAAAATCCTGGCAAGCTTTAAGGGTTAGTATTTAAAATATTATATTTTACCTAAAGTAATACCCCAGGATGCATACAATTTGAAGAGAGAAAATAATTAATTTAGATGAAGATTTTTAAAAACAAAATTACAATTCATATTTGGCTAAATTGATTATTAATACTCTTCAAATCGCATGCCATCCTGGGATATTATTTTGAGTAAATATATTACATTGTTTAAATAAATATTTAACCAAAAAATATATCAAATAAAATGTTAAACTTTTTAGAACTTAGCTACTACATTTGAATCACCTTTTGATCCTTTAATCAATGATTCTAACAATGAAGAATCAGATGAACTTTATCTTTTATAAAATATTACATCAATTCTGCTTAATGACAATTTCTGGCAATCAATAACTTGACTAAGTTCTTTGCTTCTTCCTTATTGTGGTGCTCTTAACAATTTACAATCAGATACTGCTCGTCTTTATAATGTGTTACAGGCTTTTGGCAGAATATTAAAAATGTAGCAGGAACACTTGGATCACAATTTGGCACAATATATGATTCGATGACTAGAGCAAAGATGGAGTCAATGGGAACAACCTTTATTATTATTAGCTTTTCTTTTAAATCTGAATATTCATATTTCCTGGTTTAACACTAACAATCAAAATTTAAACTTTACATACCTTGCCCAATTTATTACCTATTATTACAAAGCATGATTTGGGCATCGACCAATTTGTATTTTACTTGAATTAGAAGACTATAGAAAATGAAAATATCCCTTTGATTCTACAATATACGAACAATTTAAAGAGAATATATTAGGATTCTGGAAATTTGCTTCTTCTTTAACAAAAGAATTAGGTCCACTAACGCTACGTTTGTTTGAAATCTATGTTAATGCTGCATCTGTAGAACATCTATGGAGTTCAATGGGGTTTATACATACTAACTGTCGAAATCGTCTTACAGTAAGATTATTTTTTTTTTTGTATATTTTTTGTAAAAAAAATTTTTTTTGTTGATAATATTTAGTATAGGTGGGCAAATATAATTATTATAAGAATATAATATATAAAAATTATTTAATTTAATTAATTTAAATAAATCAATAGCCAAAATTTTAATATTTATATATTAGCTTAAAGTATTTAATTTATATATATGATATTTTATAATAACTATATTTGTCCATCTATATTAAAGCTTATCTTTTTTTTTTTAATATAGAATGAAAAAGTATTAGCTATGTGCCAAATTCGTGCCTCAATTAACTTTTCCCAACGCAAACAACAAGTTCATACCTATAATACTATGTATAACCAATCTAGCGCATCACTAATTGGTAAAACTATAGATGTACAAAATGAATTTGAAGCAGATCTAGATGAAGAACACAACGAGTTGTATAATATAGAACTATCAAATCTTGAGGATTGGAAAAATCAATTATGCGATTGGGAACAAATGCTAACAGATGAAGAGGTTGCTAGATTAGAAGGTGAAAAGGAAGAACGTGATAATCATGACAATATGGAAAGTGATTTGCTAAGCAATTATAAACATCCGGCAGTAGACGACAATGCAAAATGGAAATTAGAGAGTTTATTTAGTGTATTATTTCAAATGCCAAACTATATGAATAACAATAATTAGTTTATATATAATTTGATAAAATTGTATTTCAAAATACCTTTTATTTTTGTATGGCTTTATTCTATCTTCATTTCGAAATATGATAAATGCTAATAAAGACAATCTAAATATCTAAAAATCTAACTAGTTACATTATTATCATTACCTTAATTAAATAATAAACTATAAAATTCTATAAATAACATAACAAGAATAAGTTATGGTTAAAGAATATAAAAAAATAAATTCAATAGTAGAAATTATATGCAGATAACTTACAATGAAAAATTTTTTTCTTTAGCTAAATGGATGTCTCTTTCGGTATTCAAACATTATATGAAAGTAATAGTAATTCTTGCTAATTTCCGAATCTGAATTGAACTAATATCTACATTAATTTAACTCAGAAAGATATTGATATAGAATTTAGTAAATTAAAAGAAGTTTCAAGCACATATGCCAAATAATAAATTGCAGCAGCATCATACCATAATAATAATATTTTGTTAAGCAAAATTTATTCATTACAGCTAATGTTCCAATATATAAAATAATTAATATTCAGACTTCAAATTTTCATGTTGAGCCTGTGATTCAAAATATATTCCAACGTTAGTACATATTTATTTTAAAACAGTAAATTAGAATGTGGATCTGGAATAGATAAGTATGAAATTTGGATTTGTAAAAGAAATTTTTATATGGATCTAATCTCTGCAGTAAGCATAATATAAGTGTTCACATCTAAGTGAATCAGTTCAAACATGTAGATCTATGTAAACTTTCTTTTAACATGAGACCAGGATGAGATATTGCACTTTGCGCACTAAAATAATATGATCAAAAGAAAACTATGTACGTATCGTACATATATAATAAAAAAGTAAGAGTTACTTGATATACAATTTCGCTTTTTTTGTATAGTGTATCATGTTCTACTAATAAGCACGTGAAAATATGCATATTTAATGAGCACGTCAAAATATGTATATTTTATTGGTTACTATTCGTGCATTTTGATTGGACAATATCATAGATTCCAGTAGAAAAATTCTTCCAGTGAGAATTTTTTACTGGAACCACTGGAACACTAGAACAATTTGGATGTCCAGTGGGGTTCCAGTGGTCCAGTGCATATCACTGGTCTAAGTAATTATTTAATTCTGTTAACAGTGGGATTTGAACCCTAGACCTCTTACATAGCAGTCTGACAACTTATCCACTACACTAGATTACTAGACTATATCCTATCATTGACTTTAATCACCCTAAAATTACTGTTAGTGATAGTAATAGTATAGCTAAAATTCCTTGTTGCAACACTACTCAAATAAATATTAGAAATGAAAATGATAACAATAATGATGATAACAATTATGATAATGACAATAATAATAAGGATAATAATAATAAGGATGATGATAATGATGAGGATGATAATGAAATAAATGAAGATGAAGATTTTATTGCAAGTTATGGTTTGGTTGTTTCAAAAGATGAAAGTTCTGACTAACATTTTTATTGAAT